AAGGTTATCTCAAGCAAGCATTCTTTAGGCATTGAGCAGGAATGTGGTGAGCTAGTTCCTGGATAAGGGAGGGTTAACTTTTAAATTTATCTTGAGGTCTCCGGTTTCTCAGGAGAGGGCAGAAGGGCAAGTCACTCTGTGATGGGCTAGTCGTTGGGGTCTAAAAATGTTGAGTTGGGATCTCTCACAAATTTACTTTAAAGTACTGGACTAGACCAAGGTGGACAAAGAGGACTGTGTTTCCATGCAGACAGAAGCTGGTGTTTCTCTGGTTTTCAATTAGAACCTTTTGATGACACGGAGTCTGGCTAAGAAACAAGGCTAAGGGCTTCCTCAGGCCCTGTGCTCAGTCTTGGCCTCTAAGAGAAGGCAACGCTTTTTTCCCCTCCAGACCTGTGTGTTTACTGCTGCTTGTTCCCAGAAGCACTTCCTTTCTGTACTCAGGGCCCTTTCTCTGCCCATTGCACTTTTGCCTGTATTTGGTATCAGAGAAACCATGTATTAAAGTCACAGTCGCCTTTATTTCTGGCCCTTCCCACCTCCCCCTGCTCTTGGCTCTCTCTTCCTTTTCCAAGTTCCCAGAGCAGCTCATTCCATCTGGGTTATCTCAAAAGAGCTTCGCAGAGGAAGTGATGCATCTGTATATGCTGGGTAAAGGGAAAAGGAAGAGTCTTTGAGCTAAAGAAATGAACAAAGACATGGAAAGGACAAGGTGGCTCTGCCCCCAGGGAGACACAAGAAGACCAGTTGTGGGAGCAGAAGAACCAGCTCAGATGCCCAGAAGTGAGAGGACAGCCAGGATCCATTGTGTTAAAAGGGTGTTGCCTTAGGGTGGTGGTGGCTCACCCCTTTAATCCCAGAAATTGGGAGGCAGAGGCAGGAGGATCTCTGTGAGTTCAAGGCCAACTGGTCTACAAACTGAGTTCCAGATCAGCCAGGGCTGTTACACAAGAGACCCTGTCTCAAGAAACCAAAAAAGAAAGAAAAAAAAGGGATGTTGCCATATCAGGAACGATAGCAGGAACATGAATCTCCTGAGACAAACATGAAACTATTATCCAAACAAAGGTAGTTGAAGTGAAAACAGGGAATGCTTCAGGCCTACTGAGATATCTCTAGTCCCACACAAGAGTGCATATGTGTGTGTGTGTGTGTGTGTGTGTGTGTGTGTGTGTGTGTGCATAAACACGCAATAATCAAATCTGTCTGGGCGTACGGAGTGTGGACTGTAGAAATGGCTGCAGGAATCTATGAGGCTTCTCACCCTCACAGGCAGGCCCATACAGCAGTCCCTAGGCTTCCTGTGTTCCAGGATAGCTATGAATGCAGATTAGCACATTTGAAGATCACAATGCCATGTTACAAGGTCAAAGATCATTCCACCCCCAAGCCCCAGAGGCCATGGGATTTGGCCAGTGGGCAGCACAGCCAGGAAGTAAGGGCATTCTTCCCACTCTTCTTCCCAGGCACTTGGGACCGTGTGACTTCCCTCTTCCTAAGACACAGCTTTCATAATTGCTGGTTATTATTGTCAAGGGCCAATAATCTACTGCTCTGTTGGCCCGCTATGGGCTGGGCATGTTTTACATGGCTTGATGCTTCATGTGCTGAAGGTTGGTCCCCATTCTGGTGGTATGGAAATGGTGGAATCTGGAAGAGGGGTACCTGGTGGGGAGTAATTATGTCCTAGGGTCATTGTCCTTGGAAGAGACTAATGGTGTTCTCTCAGATTGAATTATTTCTCCCAGGAGAGTTAATCATTATAAAAGGGAGAGACCAGTCTTTAACGCTGCCTGGCTTTCTGTTTCCTACATGAACCTTTTTGCATGTGACCCTGCACCTGCCATTCTTACCCTGTCCAGAAGGGGGCCCTCACAGAGGCCAGTCTAACTGTCTTTTCACCCCCTGAAACTTTGGGAATGCTTCAATGGGCTTTATTTACTTATTTTTGAAGACAGGGTTTCTCCTGGAACTGGCTCTGTAGACCAGGTTGGTCTTGAACTCACAGAGATCCTCCTGCCTCTGCCTCCAGAATGCTGGGATTAAAGTTATGTGCCACCATCCCCAGCTTCAATATTTATTTTTGTTTGTGTGTATGTGTCTGTGTGACTGTATACCACCTATGTGTGGATGCCTGTTGGGGGAAGTCCTACTGTGTATATGTTGATAAATAAAATACTGTTGGCCAATAGGGAAGCAAGATAGGTGGGACTAGGAGTTGCAGAGGATTCTGGGAAATGTAGTTAAGAGTAGGTAGTTGTTGCCGCATGATCGTGGAGAGAGGATGCATGAGGCTGAGTCCTTGGTAACATAAGACCTTATAAAAATATATATTAGTAATTACGTGCTAATAATTAAGTCAGAGCTAGCCAATAAGAAACAAAGACCCTGCACTTGGGAAGCAGAGACAGGCAGATCTCTGTGAGTTCGAGGCTGGGCTGGACCGACAGCTTCCAAAACAATACAGAGAAACACTGTCTCATAAAACCAAAAAACAAACAAACAAAAACAAAGAAAACAAAGACACAATTAATATAGTGTCTTGTGTGTTATTTGGGGGCTAAAGCAGCGACGGGATCTAGGTGGCTGGTGCGAAGAATGCACCTTATAGATGCTCACAGAAATCAGAAGGTAGCATCGGACTCCCTGGAATTGCATGTAGTTGTCAACCACCTGCTGTGGGTGATGGGAACAGATTTCAGGTCCTTCTGGAAGAGCAGCAAGTGGCCTACCCATGGACCCATCTATCAACTTCCAAAAACAATGAACTATAAACCTCATATCCTTTTGTATCACCCAACCTCAGGTATTTTGTTCTAACACCAGGAAATAGAATAAAAGACGGCTCTTTGAGGCCTTGAGAAGTTCGGTCTTCACTGTGTTGGCTCAAGAGTCAACACCTCAACACCTGGCAATCTCCTTGAACCCTCATTACACATAAGAGATATCCTTAGCAAATATTCCTTAAATGGTTCAGTGTGAAGTCCATTGATGCCATTACTCTTTTGCCATGACACTGACTCATGTAAACCATCCTTTTTTCATTTTAGCCATTTTTAAAGAAATATTCAACTTGGTAAGTACATGTAGATTTGGCAGCTATTGATTTGGCAATTTTCTGCTATTGAGATTGATATAATATCTGTAACAAAAGATCAGAGAGAGGAGTCCAGGTTTGCTGCACTCAAGTGCCAGATAAAGATCATATTTTTATTGTCAATTATAAAGTTAATTCCATTCTCACTGAAATAATATATGGGTAAACCCACTTTTTTGTTTTTGTTTTTCAAGACAGGATTTCTCGGTAGCTTTGGAGTCTGTCCTGGAACTCGCTCTGTAGACCAGGCTGGCCTTGAACTTACAGAGACCCACCTGTCTTTGTCCCTCCAGTGCTGGGATTAAAGGCATGCACCACCATCTCCAGGCCCCCAAGTTCCCTCTTAAGATATTATTTGTAGTTATTTGGCAGAGAATGTGTGAAAGCATTGCTTTAGGAATGATGCAGTGATATATTATTTATGATTTAATAAAGATTGCCTGAAGGATCAAAATGCAAAGCCAGCCATACTATCTAGCTACAGAAGCTGGGTGGTGGTGGCATACACCATTAATCCCATAACTCAGTGGACAGAGGAGGATGGATCTCTTTGAGTCCAAGGCTACCCAGGTCTACACAAGACTGAATCAGTCTAAAAGAGAAACAGTTCACACAAAGGAGATCTCACGCCTTTAACCCCAACTCTGGAGAGGTATATAGGGTAGGAGCAGACATTCAGTCTGGGGCAATTATGGCAATGTGGTCTCCAGCCACATTGAGGGCAGTTTTGTTTCAGCCTGGGTAGATGTAAGAGCTATTGGCTTGGCTGCTTTGCTTTGAACTTCAGGTTGAAGCTTGAACCCTAGAATTTGTCTCTGGGTTTTTATTTTTCATGTTACAAAACACTGTCTGGAGTCCTGTCCCCAGCACTAAACAGAATCCAGAGAACAAGAGCTACCACATTCTCCATCTGCTTCCAAAATTGATCTAAGTGTTCCTTTGTACCAGACTAGTCCTTATACAGGTGCATCTAGGTAAAGCATGGAGAACAAGAATAAAAAGGCACCAACGAAGAGGAACTGACTTACTATGTTAGAGGAAATTTGATTTAGACATACATCACACTTAACAACTGAAAACTAAAATTTCATATTCCAAACCTAAGAATCATGGTCAATGATTTTTAACAATTTGTCCTTGTCCCTTAGTGGAACAATGAATTAGATTTGAGGCAAGGGAAATGAGTGATTTTAAACTCCTCCCAAAGGATCTAAAACACATACAGGGAATGTTGTTGTATCTCTTGATTTCTAGAGGATAAATAGGGACCCAGGAACATCTGGCTTCCTTGTGAGAAGAGTGCCAGACAACCCCCTACACTAGATTAGAGGGGGACTGATGGAGTCTTTCAGGATTTTCTTCACGATGATCTTGGTGTCCTGGGCAACTAAGTGAAGCACACGTCTGTGTTTTATGCGTCTGAACCAGGGGACACAGCGATGTAAGCATGGGAGACATTTAAGAGTGATGGAGAATGCACTCCGGAGAGCACAAGTCATCAGTCTCAGTCTCCAGTCCCCTCTGGCAGAGAGTGCACCTGTTTTGGGACTTCATGTTGGCCTTGTACTCTAGTAGTACTGTCCCCAGGCTCAGGGCTACCTGCTGAAGCGATTGATCATCTATACCAAACTTTAGTCGGTACACCTTCACACACTCTTCCATGTCATCATTGTCCCTGACACAAACGGAATGCTCCGAACATCCGCCATCTAGTCTCTCCTTCAAGGAGGCCACTCTCTCATCAATGATCTTCTCACATGTGTAAGAGAGAGTGTTTAAGGGCACACAGCACCTGATGTTGGAGAGGTCTTTATGCAACGTGTCTCTAAGCTTTGGGAAGTCATATAGTAGAGGGTTTAGATTGGATACCAAGTATATGGGGGGTATGTTCACCCTCTCCTTCTGGAGATTCTCTTGGATATTCTCCTGTATACTCTGTAGAAACCGGATCTTTGAAAGGACACATGTACTGAGGTCCCTGTCCAGCTTGGTCCAGATGATATAAAACCTCTTCCCCATCCTCTGGATGAGCTTGGCAAGATTCACATGATTCGAGCTGAACTGCTCAGAGGCGATGATGATGAACAAGTCATACATGTTGAATTTCATCTCTTTTCCATAGTTATCTATGGTTTGGGCTGTAGCCCCCAAGCCAGGCAGGTCCCACAGTACCACATTGGGAAACAGGGATGAAGAGTATTTCACCCGTGTCTGGGTGATCCTCACCACCCCAGTGGGAGCCGAGTCATCTTCCTCATGGTCAATCATTCGAAGTGCATTGATGAAAGATGACATGCCATTGCCGGCGTCCCTAGTCACAGTGATGTTCACTGGAGTATGGGACAATGCTGCCATGGTCTCCTTGACCCCATACACCACATCTAGAATTTTCCCTTTTCTCAAGGCCCTTTCAACGGTCCTGCTGACGTCAGGTAAAATGCTGCCCCCTGTTTGATATGACGTGGCAAAGGGGAAGGACAAATTCAGTGGAGCAAAAGGGGTCTCTGCCATGTTGGGGAGTAGTGGCTCAACCTGTAGAATGGTAGAAGAGTTGTGGAGTTAGACATGGCGGGTTATGGGAACCAACAGACTTCATATCACAACCTCGGGGTTCCGGATCCACAACCAGGGGAATAGCAAAGACGTTTCATTTACAAACAGAATGGTTCAGGAGATGATTGCACATTCACAGAGAGGTGCTCAGGAGGATGTTTGTGCAGCCGTTGTGTGAAGGGTGGTAGTTCTGAAGCAGGATGCTCCCAT